ACCTACTTCGATCAGTTTATAAACGAGAACTGATGCAGTGCCATCTAAATCGACTGTACTTTGCGTGGGTCTAAAAGTGAGATGCGCTTTGATTTCGACATCTACGGTGTTTCTCATTCGCCATGCCTTTCCCTCTGCTTGAATCTTGCGAAAGAGGAATAAATCTGCGCACAAGACTGTACGGGGACGACGACGTTGTAGTTGTAATGTACTTGGTTGGAGCTCTGTAAAAATTTATCTGGGGGGGGGGGGGGGGGAGAGTAGTGGATGAGTAAGTAGGATGGAGTCATGTTACTTGATGCTGGATGCAAAATATTACGAAATGAACATCACATCTGCAAAACATCTTGTCAGTTAAATATTGCAATGTTTATACTTTATGGATTACTATCGTAAGACCACACAAGGCGTTTCTACCTTACTACCGTAATCTCGCCAAAAAGACTAGCACGCGAATTGGCATAATTTGTAACCACCTTGTGCCTAACGTAACCGTTCTGTTTGTTAACCTCGCTACTGTTTTCGCAAATTATTCTCGAATTTTCGTTGTCGTGTAAGAGCATATTTAGCGTAGCGTAGCTGAGTTGCTGCTAAATAGGTTGCAGATTCGGGGATACATTTCTTGGCCAAAGATGAATCAATTGTGCTGCAGCTTGATCTTTCGTTAGGACCCTATAATCAGTTTTCCCCATAGGCCAAAGGCGTTCAAACGGAAGCTCAAATGACCTAGTTCGAAAACTCGTTTTCTGGTCATGCACATCTTCAGCAAAAAAACCTATGATTTCCACATCGCCATCACAGTAAAACGATTTTGGATTTATACAACGCTCCGAAACTAGCAAACTCAAAGAATACTCGTTCCGCAGTACTATAACCTTGTTGACTACTGGCGAATTCTCAAAGCGAACACAGGTTCCACAAAATTGGCGAAATTTTACAGTGAAACCTTGTTGCCATGAACAATTTATCAAGTCCTGAATGTGAAGCTAAGTCTTTACTCTCTCTTTGGAAACAGAGACTGAAAATGAAGATTACACGCTTTCTTTCGTAACAAGACGCTTTACAGTAATAAAGTGGTATTTGAGAATCAAAGGCTAGGGTCGTCATTTCAAAGGTAACCATTTATTTACAACAGAACACGCACATTATGGTTTTAAGTTTCATTACAATGAATTCCAAATAATGACTTCAGCATATGACTTCGACACAATAGCAGTGGTTTTCGAATATGATATAATGTAGAAATTCGCAGTCAAAATCACATCCGTCAACATAATGGCGACCATGTCATACTACTGCAGTATAAGGGTAACTTGTTAATACAGTTCTTGAGTACATAAGTGCATCGTAAACTATTCAAAAATATTTTTATTATTTCATGGCCTAATATGTGGTGTACCCTATGCGCACACTGCGCGTCTCATCTTATTTTGTCGACCATAGGTTCTCCAGGCTTCGAGAAAAACTACTAGCAGTTCGCTACATTCTGCCCGCTCGCTCAACTTCTTCTAAGGTTAAGCATGAAGTCTGTCAACGAAGTGATTGTATGCCTCAGTGACCAAAAAAGCAGACAAATTATAGTCGTCCTCACCCCACTAGTCTGTTGGTGGTCGAATTTGAAATCGAACTGGAGCAGGCCGGTCGCGGCGAGTAAAAATTCCATTACGGTGTTGCCAAACGTAGCTCGGAGTGATGATTACGTGTGGACCATCCATTATACCAATCTACGTTGCAGCAAAAATCGTTTTGCCTTTCCGTAGCAGTAAGGTACATTCCGCAACATTTTCTGATGGAGAGAACAGCATTTTGCGCAGTACTACCTTTACCACATAACCTCTCATGAATTTTATCTTATGCTTCGCAGAAATCCATTCATCATAGTTCATCGCCTTAGCATTCGGGCCGAGAGCTTTAGATCCGTCACAACTGCAGACTCCAGATCCGCAATCCCCGCAAGTTTCACAGCGGACGGAAGGACATGTTTTGGCTCCACAGCACTCACACCTAGCAAAAGATTTGCTTAAGAATAAGTTAGGAAAAAGTAGGTGATGGATTAAACAATCAGGTCAACTTTAGCAGATACAATGCTCAAAATGGAGTCTGACTTCTACCTAGCCATAAACTTCCACCACTTTTTATGGCGCTTTTCTTCGATTGTACGCAATCTCCTCTAAGCAAACTAGGGGCACACATCGTTGCAAGGCCGGGCAGATTGTAAAACTGCAAAGTCCCAATAAAATGGTGATTCGAAAAAAATCTGGCGCTATTCCAGAATACACAACCCAAAAATGAAAAATCTCGGATTTTGCTGAAACTTTGTACATGGGGGGTTATTTGACATGCTGATCACCAAAACGATATTCATTTCGCATGGTAGGGCCTTTTTGGAGGAATACGCCAGGCATACGGCATGGGGTTAAAATCTCAGATCATGATGAAACTCCGCAGAGAGAGTTATTCGACATGCTGATAGCGATTATCAAGCTTTTTCCGCAAGAAAACGCCTCCCTGTATGGTGTTACGGTAGGTGCACAGTAGGGAGTCACAATCGTAGATTTGGCTGGAATCTGAGCTATAAGGGTTATTGGACCTGCTGATCACAAATTTTGTAGAGTTACGGAAGTATGCGGCAAGGGGTCAAAATCGTAGGTTTGCCTAAAACTTCGTGCAAGGGGATTATTCGATGTGCCGTTCATATCGCTCGTTTTGCATGATAAAGCCATTTCGTAGATTTTTGGGATGTGAATTAGTCTGAAGCGCAGAGATGATGTCTACTTATGATGCAGATTACCGTAACTTCACAATAAGGCGTTATTGCAGTGAACAGCATGATATTCGTAATTAGCATGCTTGAAAACCCCCCTACGGCAAGTTCTGAGCAAATTGGGACATTGACCCAACTAACATATACCCATCGTTAGCCAGGAAAAGGGCGCTACCTTGAGGATTTGATATGTTATACATGTTCAGCGTGCTGAACAACCCCTAGCCCCCACATTCCAGCCGAACTTATGATTTTAACTCCTACCGTACACCCCCACCGTAACCATACAGGGAGAAGTTTTCATGCGGTAAAAGCGTGATAATCGTGATCAGCATGTCGGATAACCCCTCTTTGCAGAGGTTCATCAAGATCTGAGATTTTAACCCTACCGCATGCGTATTCCCCGAAAAAGGCCTACCATGCGAAATGAACATCGTTTTCGTGATCAGCATGTGAAAAACCCCTCTGTAGAGAGTTTTAGCATCCGGTTTTTCATTTTTGGGTTGTGTCTGGAACAGTACCAGAAAATCTTGGAGAATCTCACCTCGGCTTCCCTTCGCAAGCTTTCCTGAGCGTCACGATCTATTGGAAGCGTAAAATTTTCCCCATCTCTCAGATAAATAAGTACCTCAAAAAAGAATTTTCTCCAGTTGTCCTCATTGAAGGGATATATTGGTGCAGAACTTCTCCAAAGTAAGTTGGGTTTGGGTCTCAATCCACAAATAATTCTTCTTCATTGCGCCAGCGTTTCGCAACCATCGCGGAGAGCACCTTAAAAAAGAAATTATCATGGCGAATATATCAACAGACGAACTGAGATCTACAGCATCCAATTTTGTCAGCGTGGATACTGTAGTTTCGAACACCGTCCTACCAAAGTTGATTTTGACTCGTTCGTTGTTCCTCGGCTGTTCGGAGTCTTCCGCCTAGAACATTTTCTGAGAAACTGAATGAATATGAAAGTAAAAAATTAAACTTGCCAGAGTTGGATCTTTCATCGTGCGTTGGCTTGGTAACTTGAGTCTATGAGTGAGGACTGATGCAGCAGAGCCCTTGTACTTTGTGCTGGTCCTAACGCGAGATCCGCTTAGCTGGGACATCTGCAGTATTTCTCAATCACCGTACCCTATTCCCCATAATCTAGATTCCACAATCGAACACTACGTAGAGAATTTAGTAGTAGGTACTAAGTAAACGTCTTAAGCCATAAAGGAGCCATTCGTAATGCAACAAAGATGGCTACTCGCTAGAAGTTACGCTGGGAGGGGGGGGGGGGGAGAAAGAGAGGGGAATTTTGACTTTGCGAATGTCTTCATCATTCGTTCCGAGGATAGCTTCCTAATGCATTGAAGTCATACAACCTACGTGGGATGTTACGGTAGCCTATCAAAGAAGGGAGCATTACCGTAAAAAGGCATGCCACGTTCAGCATTTCACGTAAGTAGCTTTTATGGACACATTCTGAGATATTGCTCCTGTAGAATTTTTATGCCCCCCCCCCTCTCAAAAACACTTTCACCCGGGTAAGCATCAGTTTCGTACAGCATACCAGATATCATGTGAAAGCTGAGCTTCTGGGATCTTGTATCGGATACATATTTGATCTCCGTTCAATTCTAACACATGTGACTTTTGAGCATAAGTGCTCAGGAAATCCAGCAGACAAATCCACTGTTTTATGAGAAAGACGTTTTCGAGTTTGAATTAATAATCAGCGAATCTCCATAAGAAAAAGTGTTTTTCTAATCCGAAAAGGGTATTGCACACAACGTCCATCATGGGTTTGTGATAGGAAAAATGCAAAAAACTAGCCAACTGTCAACGCTTGCATCAGTTCCTGGAATCTGCTATTTGAAAAGTAGAGAAAAGATATAAAAAACACCGAAAAACATTCCATGTGGGGACGCCAAAAGTGGACATAGTGTGCAATTACACAAATGATCATATAGAGGATCCGACTGTTTGATTGACGGGTTGTTTGTGTCTACCTTCACGCTTCACCAGTTGTTTACACTATTGACCATTTTCAATTCTAAGAGAGTCCCATGGGTATCAGCAGTAAGTGAACGGTTTATTCAGTAAGAGCGATAGGAATAGGAGTAGTAAGAACATTTACAGCACGTCAGTAGGAGTAATGTAAGCAACTGCCGCAGATTGTCAACAATGCAAATAATGAGAAATAGCTGCGAAGAGATCTACAGCCAATGCCAAGTGTGAATCAAAAAATCCCAAAAAATTAATTTTTTGTTTTCCTCAGTGCAGATTTCGGGAGATGTGTTTCCCATGCGTCCCACTTCACGCCACAGCAGGAGTCGCTGACCTGCAATAATTTCAATGAAAAATTGGACAGAGAAGAGTTAAAATCCAATTACCTCCATTACGTTCCCTTTCATGAAAGACATATGATGCTGGAGTGGGACCCAGTCGTCATATTTGATAGGAATATCATCAGGGATCTCTTTATTTTCGGTAGTTGTCGGACCCACGTATCCGAACACATTATCGCCGCAAGCCATGCATCTGGCCCATTCTCTTTCATGGTACTGATACCTAAAAAACCTTTTATTGTACTGATGTATAGAGTCAAATCATCACTATGTGAAGTCGCAGAATTCACGCAGTTTGCGCGTGATCCACAACTATGTTGGTCACGGCTACGCATTTCCTCCGAATGAGCGCTCTCACTGTCTCTTACTCATTCACAGCGCAATGTATATGAGCGTTATTATATGTGTGCAAACGCACGATTAAGTTATACGAACGACATGCGTCCGAACTAGAGCGTTGTGACCGTACCAACTGATAGGGGATGTTATGATTGCATTTTCAAAAAGCATTTTCCAACCTCACAAAAAATTTCCAATAGATCTCAATAGCGCTTTGCTTCCACTGTACGATATCCCCGACGTGAAATTCCGATGGCAAGCACATTTCTTCGAGGCCGGGTAGCTTGTAGAACTGAAACCATCTGGGTACGCAAACACAACTGATCTTTTCTTAAAATTTACCTCTGCTTCTCTATGAAGACTTTCTCGAGTCTCATCATCAGCAGGAGGACAAAAGTTTTTGCCATCACGTAGGTAGTTCAACACCTGGAACAAAATTACAGCTGAGATGATCGTAAGTAAGGAATTGAAACTTTAGACATACGTTTCCAAAATGAGAAGGGTCCCTATCAATGAACAGTTCATCCTGGTTTCGTCTACGCTTAGCCGCGGCAGCGAGCAACTGCCAAAATTAGTGCATGAATAGATGGAATTTACGGACGAGCGGGACTAAACTCACACTGCCGTCCACGCTGGTAAGGGTTGAGAAGGAGGTCTCAAAGACATGTCCGCCGACATTGATCCTTATATGTTCTCCACACGTTGGAAGCTCAACAATTTCTGTCTAAAAAAATTTTTTTTGCTAACAAGAGTTGTTGTCGATCTAGATATGAAATCCTATATCTTTACATTTCTTCTAGAAAATTTCTTTTCATGTGAGTATGAGCAGGCTGGTGGCTCTGATCACACGTCTAACTCAAATATAAAAGCGGAGCTCGAGCCTCGAGCGCATGAAACTCATGAAACTCACCATTGCGCGTTAGCTAGCGTATTGTTGTGACACTGGGGACCGAACGCCATCATCAAAACAACACGATCCTGGTTGGGTCCCACGACGATGTGAAGCACTGTTTCGCTACGTTTCGTGCCTCTACGATCGGGTGCATAAGTACTGTATTACGGCGACTTCTCAAGCTCTCATGCGCAAAACGAATGATCGTTATTTTTGAAAAAGTGAGAAATGAATCTGCGCGGCGGGATTTTTCATGTGGAAAGTGACTACGAATCCTATTGAACTAATTTTCGAAAGACAAATCACATATTCATGTGTGGCGGCGACATAAATCACTGTACTCGTCTCGAGCGGGCCAATCAGCGTCTTCGAGTACGGTAGTGAGCGGAAGATAAGAAGTGTTTTTGCGGCCACGAAAACTCGAATGTGTTATGAAATGCCGCTTAGTAATGGTTTCTACGATTTTCTAGTCAGTTCACAAAGGAGTTTTAGACAATCAAATCTTCATACTGAAATCAAATAAACGCGCCCGGTTGCCCATGCTTTCCCTCTGTATTTGAGCTTAGCCTAAGTAAATGAAAATATGAACATTGACTGAATTTAGAATATGGTAGATGATTTGATCGATTTGTCAATATGCAGTGTTTCCCGCGACTAAACACGATTGGTTAAATCTAGGCATTGACGGATGACCGGCAAGAGCTTACACTCATTTCAGCTGGGTAGGGGAACGAACACCTCGGTAAGGTACCGCCTCCGCGTGCTGCTAGTTCTTTCGTCCTACGGTTGTGCATCGAGTTAGGACCATAGTCCGAGGAAGGCGGTGCTTTTTGATGTTCCCGCTATGAAAAGCTGAATAGTTTGCAGTAGATCACTGCAGCCTACATAACAATACCTGCTTAAAATCTTTTCTGCTCGACTGTGTCACAGCTATATTTCGAACTCCCGCTGTTTGCGACAATTGCTATGGATATTGGAGAAAAAGCTTTTATGAGCAGGAAATCGAAAGCGACAAATTTTGAAGAAAGTGAGCCAGCATAAGGTAATAACAATTCAGAAGAATGTTGAAAGTATAGGAAACTGTTTGGTAGAATTAAGTTTTGCGCAGTGCAGATTGCGGAACGTAAATAAGCAGCTCACTGCTTTTTTTCATCCCACAGCAGGACATATCAGGTTCTCTAAATTCCATGAAATAAAAGTCTTCAACAGATGAGTTCGGTGCTGCATAACTTACCCCACAAGGCGCACCTTTTTCGATTTTCCAAGTGAGCCACTCAGCCGCTTCACTGTATTTCGGGAAGTGATCCTTATGCCGCACGATTCTCCCAGGCAATACGCAGCACGGCATAGATATCTTTGTTCGTGAACTCCTTTGACTTGTTTGGGCTGGTCGATTTCGAAGAAAAATCCCCCGCCCTTGTACACGTGAAATTAGGGTACTCTCTCCTTCATGTATAGCATATGTTGCCTCAGCGAAAGCAACTCTCATAGTTGACGGCAGCTTTATCAAGATCACCATTACTGACCGCTGTGGGAGCAACATAACTCCCGTTGATTTCACAGGCTTTATTTTTCTCCGCTCATTACTCTTATTTTCGCATTCGTAAAGAGATCTTGTAAGAGATGCTTTGAATAACAACAAAAACCACGAGCGGCATTTCGACCGACAATCTTTAAATTAGGAGATTTTGGCAATGACAACTCAAAATTTCTACCTGAAAAGAGGCATCCAATACATTTCGACAAAGCTTTTCTTCCACTGCAAAATATTGTTGCCAAAGAATTCTACTACAAGGTCTCTTCGCTTGGTGCATGAGGGGTACTCCGACCTCGGGCAGTTCAATAAGATGATAGAACTGCAATATTTGACAAAAAGATATCCATCTCAGCCAACTCATTTCGGCCACTTTTGGCAGGTGCTATACTCCTCGAGGAGTATAGCATGGCGACGATCGATATGCATCAAGTACGTGTAAAACCAGCGATTCTTGTCGCCGATATTGGCGATCGGCAGTCGCTACGACGGGCGATCGCCAGTCGCCAAACAAGTTACCGTTAAGTGTTGAATGTGAAAATCACTGGTCTTACAGTTCATTGTTTTTAGGGCGACCTCACCGGCTGGTGAGTACTTTGAAATGGAAGTGGGAAATGAGTAATGATCGCCAATATCGGCGACTACACGTTTAATACGTATCGATTAGCGACGGGCGATCGCCAGTCGCTACGACTGGCGATCGCCCGTCGCCATGCTATACTCCTCGAGGAGTATAGCACCTGCCTTTCGTAGAGCCTCTCGAGCTTCATATTCATATCACAGGAAGAGTAACATTTCATTTTCGTCGTTTCTTAGATAATCTAGTATCTCAAACAAAGGTTTTGACGCCAAGACAATGATTGTATTATTATTCGGTATTCGTTCTCTGATTAAAGGCAGCGTACACCCAAAATTTCGCCTTCGATGTTTTTGTCATTCTGGGGCCTTTCCGTGCCCCTGATTACAGTTATGACATTAAAATTCTCCAAAAGTCTCAAAAAACCCCGATTTCCAGGGACCCTTTCTTCAGGGGTGGACGAGTTTCGAACTGCTCGTCCCCGTCGGCATGCCAGCAGCTGCAACAGCATGACAGCCTGCAGTTGCAACTGCAACTGCTGCATATGCTGTCGTGGTTCGTCGCCCGAAAGAGGCGCACCGCAAAAAGCAACTGCACAACAGCAGTTGCAACAGCAACTGCAATTGCAACTGCAGCTTACGCTGACGTGGATTTCGTCCGAAGGAGGCGGAGTGAAAGAAAAATCAGTCGAGTTTTCTCCGCTCAGAAGCAACATTGGGAGACCGGACCAACGCAGCTGGTTTTCTTCTGGACACTGTATATACACGGTATAGAAAACTGGGTAACTCAACTTTTGGATGTACGCTGCCTTTAAGAGACGCGAGCATACTTTGCGTACGTCTGATTGACAAGTTCATGAGCGTGTTTTACCGCGTTTTGGTAATTCACTGTGAATTCGTGGAAGAACATGCTCGTCGTTCAACAGGCACTCAAGCAAAACGTTAGAATTTACATATGAACTTGTTAATCATACGCGAAGCGTGCTCGCGTCTCATACTCAAAGATTGAATGATATTAATTTTTCGAAGTGAGTGGATTTCTGTCCATGAACATCTCCTTTTAATCCCGCCGGTGTTTGGCCATCATCACAGAAAGCAACTTTGGTAGTTTAGGCTGTATCAAGAAAGGAAAAACGATTTGAACCTACAGTATTCTCTAGTGTAAGCGTGGAGACTGTAGCTTCGAAAACAGTGCTACTAGGTTAGTTTTCATTGGTTTCGAAGTTCGAATTGCTGCACCAGTTGAGCACGGATATGCTGTGGTTTTATCTGAAACGACAATGCACGGAAGCAGCGTCCATCCAGATGCTGGCATGGTATTCCCATTCCTTAGAGCCTTAATGACTCAGAATTCATATTCTGTTTTAGATACCTTTCTTTCTGGAGAGCACATTGAGAATTTGTAGGCTTTTGGGGTTATTGCTCGCAAGGCTCGCAAGCGGTGAAAAGCTGGTATGGTAGCGCATCGAATCGGATCGATGAATGGAAGGGCAAAAAGGGTGAATATGTAATTATTTTTGTTTTTGTGAGAGCGCGAAACTTGAGGGAATGGCTATAGGAATAGATTCATCAGAAAAGCAAGAACAGAAAGAGTAAACGAAATCACCTTTGCAGACTGTCCCTTGTCCTTCATACTAGCTACCTCTTCCACAACAGTGGGGATTCAATTATGTCATTCAAGACAAAGTACCCATTCCTATCGCTTTTCCAACACAAATGGATTCAAATAAAGCTAACATTTCATTTGAATTTGTAATCTCGTCACCAACGTAAACTGTCCTTTCTCTGCTTTGTCATTCTCCCTCTTGCTATCGATTTCACGCGGCCCTAAACATGGTCAGTTCAGTGACTGTTAAAAAATATGTAAATTTTTCGTCTCGTTATTACTAGTTGTCTGCTGGATAGCTTATTGCTTGCTTTTTACTCCTGGTTGCAACAGACCATCCACTATCGTTTTAAACTCCACACCTTCGCCAGTTCGGCCTCTTACTCCATAGCAGCCACTTGCTTCGTTACTCTTGATGGTTAGCCAGGTTGACCGTAGAGACTAGCTGCTATTTGCATGTTTAATTCCTTGAAACCAATCATAGTTACGACTTCTGAGAGCAGAGTTGGTCTGGTTAGTGCTTCCATGTAACGATACCGTGCTGAAGGTCACGGGTTCGATCCCACCCTAAGCCTAATTTTTGCGGCAGCTCACTACACCAGATGCAACGATCCGCGATCATCGCAGACTCTCCGTATAGCTTACATCGATCTACACTCACTCTCATTCTCGAGAGTTCGCAGATCTTCTGAAGAGAGGCAAGTCGATGTAGCCTGCATACAGGAAAGGAAGTGGAGCGGGGCAAAGTCACGCGACATCAGAGATAGATATAAGCTCGTCTACAACGGTGCCATCTGCACCAGAGACGGGGTTGGTATAGCTAATCTCAGAGACTCAAAGGGAAGCGATTGTCTGATGAGCATGAAGATAGGTACTGGAAAACAAGTCCTACGAGTAGTCACCCTATGCGCCACAAGGTGGATGTAAGGATGATGAAAAGGACGCGTTCTGGCAGGAGCTTGACGACCAACGTTCAATTTCACTGGACGAGACACTGCTGTTAGAAGTGAACCTCAACGCACATGTGGGAGAAAGGCGAGGAAAAGCCAGGAAATGCCACGGAGGCCACAGATACGGAACATGCAATGAAGAAGGTGAGCGCTGAAATTTCTGAAGAATTCTGAAATTTGCCTCAGCCCATGATCTGGTCTTGGCGAACACATATTAAATTAAAAAGAATGACCACCTCATCACGCAGGCAAGTGGCGACCGACGAACAGATGGACTTTTGGGCTATCGTGACCATAGGTGCGATAGGGGGAGCCGGGCTCTCCCCAGGTGAAGGGGGTCTCGGCTGTTTCCGACCTTCCAGGGTGAAGGGGGTATGTGAGTCTAGGGGGGGGGGAGGAAGAGAGAAAAGGTAAAAAAGCGTGGTATGAAGAGCTCTAATTTGTACCTTATTTAGGCACAAATTGAAAAAAATTTAAAATTTTTCAAAAGAAATTAAAAAATCAAAAAAAAAATTGATTATGAAGATCTGTGCTCCTGTTTCACTGCATCAACAAAAAACGAAAGCAATAATGTTTATCCCAAAAGATGTACAAGTTAGAAACAACTTCATTTCCTGCACATCATCATCAACAATATCACTATCGCTAACGTCAGAGACAACAAGTTCGCTGCCTGAAAAATCTTCTTCTTCCTCCAAAAGGTCATCGGAGTAGAAGTAGAATTGCGTGCAAAAGCGTTCTGAGTCGAAAATGGATTTGAAACTTTCTTCTTCTTTTAAGCGGTTTTGTGATTTTTTTCGTGGCTCTCTGGTAGCACCAGGAAGTCAGCAGGTAGGTGACCAGTTTCTTCATACCTTCTTTTAGGATATTTCAAAAAGTCATACGGTAACAGCCTGTCTGGACCACTTATATCAATCCTTTAAATGAAGTTTTCAGATAACAATGGTAGAAGGTTGACAAATCTTAAGTATTTGCTTAGATGCTCTATCGTTGTACGACTTCTGCGTTGTGTTCTGATAACAGAGTAGATAGAAAATTTCTTTCTCTACCTCTGCCGTGCTAGTCGGAATGGAAACTAGCTTTGCTAGTAGGCCCATCAGATTTTTGCGGTAAGTAATGGGAAAAGAGCCAAATCTCATATGCTTTCGCAACACGGGAAGAAAATAGTGTACTTTTTGGGCCTTGTCGAACTCTGGCTTCACCTCCTCTGGCATACGTCCTGTTAGCTGATCAGAAAGCTGCTCAACTTCTTCTTTAACAGCATCTGCGGAATAGCCGAAAAAAGGAGGTACTATGCTGCGCGTTGGTTTTTTTTTTTCAATATCATAGGTCATATTGTCACAAGGCGAATAACTTTCAAAAGCATAAAGCACAGAGTTGGGTTCGCACTCCAGCCGGGATCTAAGCGCAGTAACTATGCTTTATACTAACACCTTCCTTTTGTTCATATCCATGTTTGTGAATTTAGCAGCCTTGAATTCTTCAGCAACCTGAAGATCAGCAATGGACTTCCTGGACATTTCCTCATTGAAACTAGACAATCTGCTTGGATTCCTTATGCAGGAAATCAGAGAGTTTCACTCAATTGCCAACTCTGTATCAATGTCGACAACATTTTCGTCGGCGTAAGATTCTCCTTCTGCCTCGCTGTTGAACTGGAACACATGCGAGTCATCTGCGATTTTGTAAAGTATTCTGCCTGCCATTTTTCAAACTGTCAACCTTTCCAAAACATTGAGGAATATTTTAATAACATGTTATTCTTCTGAATGTCTTAGAGTTTTTAATTCATTGAAACCAACCATTCTCTAAAAATTAGGTAAGGTGAGTCTAAAGCGTTTTCACGAAAGTGACCTTCTTCAGCACTAGGTTTACAGAGTACAGATTCCAGAAATGGGCGGGTTTTGTGTGAAGGTGTGGAAATTCACCAATCTCCCATAGTTTTTTGAGTGTGTGCTAACAATGATGGCATAACTGTCAATCAAAAGCGCATTTTTTACCAAAAAAACGTAAACATATAACAACGATAAGCACGCTCAAATAGACGCGTTCGCTCACGTTCCCGTTAGTGCTGATAACGATTTCAATCCACAGTACATTTTTTACTATTAACTTGCTCCACCTCGCTCTTATTAGGTCGTCCAGAAAGTTTTTGCACACGAATTTCAAAATTCATAACTTCTGATTTTTCCAACCGATTTGACTGCTTCCAATTTTATGTGAAAGTGTAAGCCATGCTCTTTATAATGACATCTCAGCTGCTTAGTAATAGTCATCTGTTGCATAGATAGGAGCGATAGAAGAAAAATGGTAAAAATTTTAAATTTCTGTGTAGGGTTATAAAAAATCGGAGACTTGCAACAAAAATCGGAGCAGTCAGTACTGTAGGTTCTTTCACCAGCTCTTTCTAACAGTGCAAAGTTTGCGCCGATTGAGCGTCTCCATGAAAAGTTATGGTTTCCCTGAAGAATGCCAAAATAAATCAAATTCGCCTTTTTGTACTGCTTGCTCGGAAATTATAACTTTTCATGGAGACGCTCAATCGGAGCAAACTTTGCACTGTTAGAAAGAGTTGGTGAAAGAACCTAAAATACCGACTGCTCGATTTTGTTGCAAGTTTCTGATTTTTTATGACCCTACACAAAAATTCAAATTCCGAGTGATTTTGTTTGAGCTTCTATCTATGCAAGAGATGACGATTACTAAGCAGATGGGATGTCATTACAAAGAGCATGACTTACCCTTTCACATAAAAGTGAAAGCAGTCAAATCGGTTGGAAAAATCAGAAGTTATGAATTTTTGAAAATTGTGCTCAAAAACTTTCGGGACGACCTATACAATGTGTTGGCTTTTATGGGTTACCGGAGAAAATGATTTTTAGAGCCGGGAAGCAAAGAAGCCCTAACATGCTGTATACCATTCGAAAGCTGAGATCATGGAGAATCGACGTAGACCGTCGACTTTTTTCTAGGTCTTCTGTGCCGCGAGATATGAGGGATTTTATGTGCTTCAAAAATTAACTGATTTTGTGTCCTCACTTTCTGCTCTCCAAATGAATGCTACGAGAAAGTCGACGGTCTACGTTTGTTAATGAAGACTTGCTCTTTAACACAGATAGATAAGCAGCAGTGATTAGGTCTTCATTTGGCAGAAATCTGCTGTTGAAAATGACCATGTTTTCAGATAAAATGCAGTGTATCTCTCGGTAGAGGGGGGCTAGAAAGAAGTCGACGGTCTAGGTCGAATCCCCTTTTCCTAAGCTTTCGAATGGTATATAGGTTGCTGGGCGAAAAAACGGACCAGTTTTCAAAAATGGGGTGGAGATATTTACTATTAGCTTGCTCCAATCCGGCTCCACCAATGTATTGGCTTTTATCGGTTACCGGAGAAAATGATTTTTAGAGCCGGGAAGCAAAGAAGCCCTAACACGCTGTATACCATTCGAAAGCTGAGATCATGGAGAATCGAAGTAGACCGTCGACTTTTTTCTAGGTCTTCTGTGCCGCGAGATATGAGGGATTTTATGTGCTTCAAAAATTAACTGATTTTGTGTCCTCACTTTCTGCTCTCCAAATGAATGCTACGAGAAAGTCGACGGTCTACATTTGTTAATGAAGACTTGCTCTTTAACACAGATAGATAAGCAGCAGTGATTAGGTCTTCATTTGGCAGAAATCTGCTGTTGAAAATGACCATGTTTTCAGATAAAATGCAGTGTATCTCTCGGTAGAGGGGGGCTAGAAAGAAGTCGACGGTCTAGGTCGAATCCCCTTTTCCTAAGCTTTCGAATGGTATATAGGTTGCTGGGCGAAAAAACGGACCAGTTTTCAAAAATGGGGTGGAGATATTTACTATTAGCTTGCTATAAATAAACATAAATACCGTTTCTTTAGTAAATTTATGAGTGTACTTGTTGTTTGAGGTACCTAGCCTGCTTTTCATAACGATTTTTATCATATTCTCAGAGTACGATACCAATCTCAGCCCAGGTGAAGGGGGTCATCGGGAGTTTGGCCTCAAAGTGAAGGGGGTAAGATCCATCACTCCCCCTATCGCAACTATGATCGTGACCCCAAAAACGTAAAGGACTGCAAAGTCATTCCCGGTGAGAGCTGCACACCTCAGAATAGACCACTCCTTCTCGATCTCAAAATCTCAATCGACGGGCACACCAGGAGAGCCACAGAGACCAGGAACGCATTAAATGGTGAAAACTGAAGACCAATAACGAGATGAAACAAACACTGCTAACAACTTTACCGAGCCTGCAAGAGCACTC